CCATGCTAGAGAATCCCTGGGTGCAGTTCACCCTGGGCTATCAAGGATAATTCCCAGCTGCAAGGTCTCTTGAGTAATTTACGATCCTCCTGAGTCTTCTGCTTTTAATCCATTCCTCTCGAGACTCCCAGAGCCAGCCTGCTACATCCCATGATTCCCATCACACTATCACTAATATCCACAAGGAAGAGAAGTAGGGGTAACAGACTGCATTGTAAGAAATGCTTTGAAATAACACCAAAAGTACTGATTATTTTCCTGCTGAACTCCATSAGACTTTTAAGAGGTGCCATGTAATCCCCACGTTCCCATTTACAGCTCAACATTTCTGATATTATTTTAGATACCTCCTTGAAAGCCATATAGAGTTTTTTCATGTGGTATATTGGGTCTTAAACCACTGAAGAAGTCATGTGACTGCCTGTATAATCCAAAATTCTGTGTAGTGGAACAGAGAGAGTTTTTGCTATGAAATAGATCACCGTGTCTGGACTGGAGTACCACAATGATATAAACAGCATGGGGACCTGTACAAAAACTCAAAGAGGGAAAAAAGGTAAGATATTTTGGAAAAGAAAGATGGGTGAGTGTAATGATTAAAGAGAACAAACAGAACATTCTTTTACATTTCCTTTTATCCTGGATAAAGAAAAGAGCTCATAGGAGTTCAAAAAGATGGAAGGGAGAAATTGGAACTTCTGTACTCAATCAAGCTTTTTGAAATCATTGAACTATTCTTTTTATCCCTTTCCAGTTTTGGAAGTAAATGTGCCTCTGGATTCCCTCATGGACTTGCACCAATGGATAATTAGGACTGATATTTCTATATCCATCTCCTGTTTTTACAACACTTTTGAACACCACGAGGAAAGAGTGATTTATTGTAGTAAGTCTTAGCAGTGTGGAAACAGCTAAACTTCTGTTTGGACCAGGGACAACTCTCACTGTTGTACCAAGTAAGTGCCATTTTTCTATTTCTAAAACTTCATTTAAAATTAAGGTGGGGGCAAACAAAGGAATTTAATTATTTGTGTTCAGTGTAAGAATTTCCAGCTGCAATAATCCCTCAAATGCACTCACTCTCCAGCCAGGCTTTCAAGCCAAATCCTCAGCTTGTGTCTGCTCAGGGAGCTTTCTCAGGAACGACTGGGCTGACTCTGCACAGCACCATTGTTCCATGGTCCCCAAACACCAGCAGGGCTCTACTTAGCGTGTTATAACTTCTTGCCACTTTGGGCAGCACTCTGGCCCAAATTTACTGTGAAGGGTCCAATTCAGCAGCAAACTTCCACTGACTCCCTTGGGGCAGGAATGCAGAGCTCAGTGAAGAGCTCACAGGGGTGAGGAGTTTTGAGACACATCTGTAACTGCCTGCTTTGAGAAGTTTTGCCACCAGCACCACACTCACAGTGTCCCCAGGTAAGTCATTCCACTGCCCTGGAGAGAGGGGAGGAAGGAGCTTAAATAACTTTGGGTTTAAATTCTCACAAGTGCCTTATATCCAAGAGCTTCTGGGATGAAAGATAAATGGCTCCCAAGTTGTGTGGGCTCTGAAAAGACCAGTGTGGGGATTAGGAATTGTAAGGAGCCTTAGTTATTCCTGTCTTTATTTGGATTTCCATGATGTACCAAACGGTGGTTGTCACCCCAAGCTTTTCTATGGGAATGTGAAGGTTGGGGTGGCAGA